TCCGAATTCAAATAACTTTGACCAGGAAGCCCTCGAAGTATAAAGATTGCGCGCGTGAACTGAAAGCTGTAACGATTGGTTCCGTAAAATGATTCCTATTGATAACGGTTCGCATTCCAGCAAGAAACCAAATGGATAGGTTGAGGAAATGTGGAAGCAAAAGGGAACTCAGGAGTAACATGTAAGAACCTGAACCCATGCTTGTATTAAAGAAGCAAAGAACATTCCAATCACTACACCACGTCATCGTTTACCAAAGAAACTGATTCAAGTTTTTACCTAATCAGTCGCTCTCTCAATGAAACGGACCGAATAATATAGAACTTATAATAATAATAATAATAATAATAGTGTTTTTACCTCCTCTAATTTATTGGGCATAAAAATGCAGTCAACTTTTGAGCAGTTGACGGCCGCCAAAAAGGCGCTGTCTGGGGAAATGCATAAATGGGGAAGATGGATGGATTTTAGTATAGGACCTCCAAGTCATTGTCATTACCTTACCCACTTGTCTACTGGTTTGTCAATCGGGAACACACATAATATTCCACCTTTCTTGTAAAATATCCATGGTGTTATAAGCCCATGAAGATTTCACCCAATAGTTGAATACACATATCATTCACATTTACTGCAAACCGAGTGGACTTTTAGAACCTCCGGGCTCGCAAATTCAGTGATTTGCTGGGTTTTTTTTAATTATTTTGAACCAAACCCTGAGTCACATATTCAACATAGGTAATTGACGGTTTCGACGTGGCAGTATGCAATTTATTTATACTCAAATAAATGATAGAATCTGATACATTCCGGATGAAACGTGTTTACTGATCACAGTTATCTTGTCATAATTACAGGGTAGAACCGATCGCATTTTAATCTGTTCCGTTTTCAATAACCGGAACAATGGACACAAATAATAGGCACAGGTAATGAGTTAGAAAAAAGGACAGCAACTGTCCGGCGCTCTTTGGTGGCCGTCACACGCAACAGGTGATGGTGACCCAGTTGTAACGGCATCAAACTATCGCCTCGGAGGACGTGTGCTCGAATCTCGCCACCACCACCACAGCCTGACTCCCCCTTGTGTGTGCTGTATGGTAGCTCTTTGAGTGGCCGTTTCCCCATTCCATAAAATTGTATCATTATTTATTCAACACAAGAAAGTAAAATGGAAAAGAAAAAAGAACTTCACATACAATAACAGCGGGGAATTAATAAACTGGCGAGGATTGCAACCCAGATAAATACGCAGATCCATGTCATTGAATTTCCTCTGGCTATACCGAGAACTTGTTTAATTAAGGCGGTGTGGTCCAGCGTTGCATGCCTTTCACCTATTGTGATTCAGTTCCTCAGCTTGAACCCCGTCGTAATCGTCCAATGTTCTCACGGAGTGCTTAACAGCATTCACTCGACTACCAACTGTCGCTGAACATCGATTCTATGTCAAATAAACGGAAGCCAAAGGATTATTATTAATAAGAAGTGATAATCAGTTTAATTTCACCTATCTGGTATTTAACAAACTTATAGCCAGCATTCAGGAAGGGAACCACGTCTAACAGAATGCTCTCAATATGGGCATAGGAAATTAGGGTAACTACAACGCAAAGGTATAGTTACACGAACCGCGTGAACCCAGGCTTACTGCTCGATCCCCGCCGCCCAGGAATGATAACTCGTAATCCAATTTAATAATGAAAGGAAAAGTTAAGAGGGCACGTACATAATGTAAATCTATTGAAAAGAGTAGTTACATACGCACGGTTTGTTTGCATTCTATACCCTGTCCGCGAAGCTCCCGTTTTAGGAGGACTCTGCTTTTGCTGGAGTACCGGCGAAATTCGGGGGAATATTGCACTGCATCGGTCAAGGTCGTCCACACACCACATTATGTGGTGTTTGGACTTGTTATGTGTATTCGTTCAAAAATAGGACAGAATCCGCACGGCCCTAATCGCAACAGATTAGAGATAAGAACAACAAAAACAACGACAGAAACAACCAAGACAAAACCAATGACCTTAAACCCGTATGGGACAATTCCTCATTTGATTGAATCAATAATCTCGTGTGTGTGTGTGTGTGTGTGTGTGTGTGTGTGTGTGTGCGGTCTTCAAAACAATCCTTGTGCTCGCTATCTTCTCTTCAACCTGACTGGAGGAGTGTGTGTGTTGTTGATTTCCATCACTAAGGTCATTTGCGAAACGGACTGGGGAAAGGATGTAAAAGCGCTCTGAGGGATGATGATGATTCATCATCAGTTCTGAGGGCAAATAAGCTGAAAGGTCATTCAAAGTTATCATCGTGCGAACAACAGAGTTTGCCAAACTGTGTGTACGGGTATCTTTGCCTCTTTACACACAGTTTCGTACACATGCACGGACTAAAAGTGCATCATTGTAAGAAATGAACCGTTCTATACACATTGTTTTCTGGTGGATAACATGACTCGGTGAAATGGTGGCCTCGCTCAGGTCAATGTCAAGGTTATCGAGCAGACTGTTTATCGCAAGACATACGGGACAGGAATTCTACTCACAGAGGCATGAATACGAATAGCTAAAGTGTTTGAGGTTACTTTACTTTTTACGCAACTATCTCATTCAAAAGGATTAATAGGCTTAGCGTCTCTCATAACGGCAGCCGGTCCCCGGAAGTTCGCGTTCACCTCGGTATACCAGATTACAATCTTGGGATGTACAACAGTGCCGATATGAACATAATGGTGAAACGCTTGGCAACCAGCGCCGGTAATTTTTGAGTGTTTTCATCTTACTGAATCTTTCTGGGAGAAACTGACTTTCAGTGATTCATCGCAACTCCATCATCCCGTATCGCCCCCACCCTCGTTGATCAGTGGTCTGTCATCCATTCAGGTTCCCACTGTCTTGAGTCGTTGGGACGACGAGCCATGCAGCAAACTTGCGTGCATTCGAGCATTCTTGTCGACTATGCTGCATTCTACGAGCGTATTGTACGTTTGTATAGTAATAAATGGTATTTGTGCGTTGGAGCGCAGTAACACCGATGATATCGACAGAGACAGAGATTATCCGTTTGGGATAGTCAGTTGCACAGCGTCGAGTGCAACGTTAGAGAGCTTTTAGTTTCTCTGTGGTAATCGGGATCGTATTATTAATATAGGAATACGAGAACCCGTGCTGTATTACTCAGAACTGGATTGGCTCCAACCCGAACTGCGGACACCAATGAAATACACGGAGAATTGGTAGCAGCAAGTGCCAATCTTTATTTATAGAAAGCAATAAGCCGTATCACTGGTTGAAGGACCGTCGTCTAATCACGTAACCATTTGAGTAGACACATCGCACGTACTAACTCCGAGGTAATGTTCGCCCGGTATGCCATTGGTTCAGCTTCCTGAACTTTGTTTGGATGACATGAAGCTGCACCTGGTTGTACTTGGAATGCGGTCACGTATGTCTGGATCACCGCGCTCTCCTTCAGATCGTTCAACACAGTATCAACCAGCAAAGTCAACACAGCGACCTACTGTGAACGATCGTGTGATGAGTTTTCGGTACTGTACAAAATGTACTTGTGCGTGCTTCCCAAACCTGCGTCTGTCATCTCTGTCAAAAAACGAATGGGAGAAAGACACAAGAATTTTCCGTGCACATGGCTGAGGGTGCAATTATCCGTATATGAGGATAGGAACAGAATCGACCATATTTCTATTCCCTAGCTGCGTTTGCATGTGTCTCAAAAGCTGAGATGACCTCCAGTTGGGAAACCCCAAGTTGGGCGATAGCCTGGCGGTGGTTGAGCAGCGGCGTTGACACTATAGTAGTGAACACTTCACGATTGTTGGCAGGCTTGGCAACACGTAGTTTCTCAGAGGACGGCAATATACTTTGGCACTGATAGTGACTTGAAGGATGATGTGGTCAGTTTACCCTTCTGTTCTTGTAAAAACATGCCGTCACCTAATATCCTATGGTATGTACATCACATCACCAATCGTCTTTTGAGTAAATTGCTAAGTTGAGGTCTATGGAATCTCGTGAGATCCTTATAAGTTGAGTTCGAATTGTAGTAAAAATCAACTCATTAATATTCACGTTCAATCAGGAGATAGTTAGGTGTTTCAGTGTCTCATTGAGCCATGGCATGAACTAATTGATAGTTGGAGCACCAGCGACTTGGGATGAAAGAGTGTTCCATGTAGTGTATACTGTGAAGTCGAAAGAATAATCCCGGTGATCTAGCTGACACTTACGGTGCATCGGTTTAAAGTCATGTCCTCAGAGTTGATTATTTCCGGATAGTATCAGCAGAGTACTGCATAGATGGTGTGGTGATCCAGACTTCCGTGACCACAATCCATGCACGACTAGGTACAGTTTCATGTCATCCAATTACCGTTCAGGAAGCTCGACCAATGGTACACCGGGCGAACATGACATCCGAGTTAGCACATATGATACGTCGGTGCAAACGGTTGCGTGATTAGAGGATGCTCGTTCAACCAATCATATGGAACATTACATTCTATAAAACACGATCTAATTCCATCAATAAACAAAAGCATTTGCTGCTATCTACTCCTCGTGTATTTCATTGGTGTCCGCAGTTCGGGTTAGAGCCAATTCAGTTCTGATCAGCACAGGACGGATTCTCGTATTCCTAAATTCAATACTATTCCGATTATCACAATTTGGCGTCGCGCAATGGAGATTCCTGTCATTGAACCATTGAACCTGCACGGAAGCCTATCAGAAATCGAAGAGTGAGTAGAACGTTTCGAATTGTGGTGCAGCATCCGGAAAGGAGGAGTGCAAAGTCAGTCGGTCCTATTTTTGACGTTGGGCGGCCGAGAGCTGTATTCCCTGGTGAAGAATCTAGCGTTCCCGAATGTTCCTGCTGAATTGCCGTTCGAGAGGTTGAAATCCCTATTACTGGACCACATTCTCCCAGTGGATTTTCAGGCCACTGAACGGGCCAAATTCAACTAAATGATCAGAGCTGCCAACATGCCGGGCCGGAAGTTCATTCTCCAGTTGATCAAAAAGGCATCAAAATGCAACTTTAGTGACCGATTGGAAGAACAACTTTGTGACCGTCTCATTGCTGAAATCAACAACATCTTATTACAACGTAAGATGTTGGAAAAGAAAGATATCACCTTTGCTGAGGCTCGAAAAATCTGTGAGCAAAGTGACGATTTGTGTGCTGCCACAAATGCGGAAACCCCTGTGTTATTCCATCGGCGTTCAACAAAACTCTTACGTGACGCACCCAATGTTCATAATTCACCCCAGGTTCCTCAAGTACCCAGTTCAAGCCGAACGCTACCGAAGGCTGCGACAAATCGCTGCTTTTCACGTGGTGATTACTATCTTCGTTCGACTGGTCGATTCCGTAAAGCCACTTGCCATGCATGTGGTAAGATGGGCCATATCCGCAACGTATGCTGAAAGCCCAAGTGCAACCTTATCGACTCCCATATCGCGGTACAACCTTGCATTTTTCAAATTCGAATTCGATATCATTAATGATGGACCATTGGTAAGCTGCGTCGAGAATTTCCTGCAAGGTCTTATAATCCTCAGCATATTTTACCGTCCTCCATGTTTATGCGTCATCAGCAAATAATAATACTTTTTCTCCAAGGATATCTGGTAGGTCGTTTATGAACGCTAAGAAAATGTTCGGACCGAGTACGGATCCTTGTGGAACTCCACAGACAGCCTCAATCAGTCCCGACAGAGAATCATTAACTCGAACCGATACGGTACGTTGTCGAAGAAATTCCCCAATCCAGTCCAGTAGCAGCCCTCGGACACCGTAATTATGGAGCTTTCGCAGCAGCATATGATGGTTAACCCTGTCAAAAGCTTCAGAGAAGCCTGAGTAGACTACATTTACTGCTTCTCCTGTGTCGACAGATTTCGTCCATTCATCTCGTGTAAGTGGCAGGTTTGCGGTGCACGAGCGTTTCCTTCGAAACCCGTGTTGCGCCGGCGAAAGTATGTTATTGTGGTGATCGTGCAACGAATACTCACGCACCGCGGTACAGCTTCCGGCTAACCAATCAAGAATAGAATAACCGACCAATCCTGTGGTCCCGATTGGCATCAACCAGATTGACCGAATACATGAAGGTATAATAATAAACCACACTGTCGCCGATTGGACGTCCAGGAACCGACCAATCACTGTTGGTCGCATGTGATATATATTTGCGTGCTTTTCTCAATAGAATCATCTGTATCCACAGCTCGTCTTGGTTTTACCTTGCGTTGCGTAATTCAGTGGGTTTTCAGTCCGAGTTCAAGTTCGCGCTGTTCAATTCCGGTTCCTATTCGATTATTACAGTTATGCTTCTCGAAATGATCCATCAGAGAATCAACGAGAATCGATTCCACTACTTTTGACAGAACAGGAAGAAGTGTAACTGGACAGTAGTTCGCAGGATCACTTCTACAGCCACCTTTGTAAATAAGCGAAATGATGCCATGTTTCAAGGATTGAGGGATTTTCGTCTTGTCGAACACTCTTTGGTATAAATGGGTAATTATTTCAGATATGTAATTTGCCAAGGACGTCAGGGTCTGTGGCCGGATTTTGTCTTCTCCTGGAGATGGATTCCGGCGCAACGCCAATAGTTTCTTTTTAACCGTTTCAGATTTGAACGTGACGGTGATCAGTTGGGGATATGGGACACTTGGTAGGTGTGGAAGCTGTAATCCGCCTTTGTTATCTGCAATGAATACTTTGTAGAACTAGAATTTTAGGAATTCGGCTGCTTCAGCAGTATTAGTGGAAACGCGTCCTGCATGCCTTAGTGCCGGTATTCCATATTTCATTTTTCTGGTAGCATTGATGTGCTTATACAGTAGCTTTGGATTAGCAGTAAATTTATGTGCCAAAGTTTCTTGAAACCTTCGTTTATCCTCTCGCACTAATTTTACACAAAGATTTCTCAACAAGATGTAGTTACCCCAAGTGTCGGCGGTCGGACATCTTCTGAACTCTCTCCAGGAGAAATTCCTCTGTGACATCCATTTCTTGGTTCGACTACGGATAGGTGATAATCGTGTAGGCAACGCACCGACAGGCTTGGTTTTTGTGGCGACCGTTATGAGTTCTGTTAATGTTTCGATGAATCTTTTCCACGACTCGAGTGGATCTAGCTGCTCTCCTGGTTGTGTCCATTGTTTGACAGTAGCAAGGTTCAGCAATTCATTGTGGTCAATAACGGTGCGCGTGTTGGTTTTCAGACATATTTCTATTGAGGCATGGTAAATGTAATCGAAAAGCAGAACTGCATGGTCGCTTCGTCCTAATGGAGACCTTATTTCGACCAATTCGACCATAAGCTTCGCGCTTGTCAATACCAAGTTCAACGTTGATGGTTGGTGGCCTGTTCCAAATCTGGTGGGATTCTTCACGTAATTATACATCGGATGTGAGTTTATAAACTGTGATAAGTTTCACTCGAAAGGGTGGTGATAGTTCTGGCTTTTTATAAAATTGGGACAATTGAAGTCCCCCATTATGAGAACATGAGTGCACTTGATTGAGACAGCGTTTCTCATACTCTGCAAGAGTGCCTCGTTAGCTACGTCTGAGGATGCAGGAGGGCGGTAGACTACACCCATCAAACAATTGCTATATTTGGACAGCCTCATTGTGCACCAAAGTGTGTCGGTTCTGCATTGAAGAGATCGAGTGGTTCACATTGAAGGTTGTTGTGGACATATAGCAGCACACCGCCACCTCGTGTCGAATGATCACGCCTCAGCAGCGAGATTCCGGGTAGGTGTAATTCCGAAGCGAGAATATCGGCAGTCAACTAAGTTTCGGTAATGGCAACAAGATCCCATTGACCAGTTTGTAAGCGCATTTGAACCTCAAGGAGTTTGCTAAGGAAGCTTTGTGCGTTTGTGTAAAAACAAGTTAGGGAGCGTCTGTTTAGAAATCCGCTGGGTTTCGAATCGTTATTTATGCCGACTACTCTGCGGTCGGCAGTAGTTTTTTGGGGAATCGGTTCTGCTGCTGTGAGCACCCGAAGAAGTAGAGGGGNTAGAGGGGAGTGGAGTTTTCTAACTGCGGAAATCGTTTTACCTCACTATTCAACAGTAGTCTGAGGCGTAATTCTGGTAGTCCTCTTCTTCTGTTTTGATACCATGCCTGCAAGACCGATGTGACCATTTCTGGGGTACTGAGGGTTACTTTCATAATCCTCGGGCTGTTTCCAGGGTACTTTGCTGAACACGGAAGTCGACTGACTGAGATAGTGAAAATATTATGGCATCCAATCAACTCTTGAATAAACCTCCACTCTTTACAATCGTTTTGTTGATATGTAGATTCGTCTGGATCGTTTACTTTGGGGACTCCGTGATTCAATACAACTCGTTTATTTTCCGACTCGCGTGCATCTACAGGTTCGTGCGATGGCGCACACGTTCGGTCCATGGTCGATCAGGAAGTATTATTATACGACTGGAAACTTTGCCAAGAAGGTAACTAGAAAGAAGAACGTTCTCGACGTCTTTCTCATCCTTCAAAGTGACGCGTAGTAGTATGGGTTCCCCGGCGTGAGGTGAGGACGGTTGACGAAAGAGGCGTACGACACTCATTGGGTGGATGTCAATGTTCATCTGAGCGCATAATGTAGTCCAGTCACCAAGCTCTTCCACTGGTCTCTCCCTCAGTGAAGTTGCTGTCGCCTCTAGTACATTAGTGCAGATAACCGTCAGGGTGGCTTGAACAATAGTCGGCTTGTGCTTTGTTGACCTATGATGTATCTGCCATGTGGATACTTTGGACTCAGTTTGACTCCCTGAGCCTGGAATTGAGTCCGCATCGTTGGTTGCTGTTATTGTCTTTGTATTATGAGCAGGTGTCGGCTGTATTGAGTGGTTCTCCAACTCTGGCACAATATTTCTGTTTCTCATCGTTATTTTGCCACGTTACTAATTTCAGCAGTGTATCAGGTGCGCTGGATCAGATGCAATGTTCGATATGCGAGGATCACATTTTCTTGAATTCAGCGGTGTTGAGATGAGTAGAATATTCATATTATCAGCTTCTCAATATAGGCCTTGTGTTGTACCCCCTTGATGATTGATGTTTCTATTATGTGCGGACACCCTAGCACTTTTTGTCACAACTTAGCCGTCGACTCCAAAAGTAGATGGCATACTCAGTGTGTGTTTGAAAGTAATCAGATTACAAACGGGGAAGTTCATATTCCAAACGACCCGAAAACACGTTCAAATAATTCAATTTGCTTTAGAACCATTGACGACGCTCTAATACATGTATGAAACATTCTAAGGTGCTGCTGCTGCTGATAATAATAATAGTAGTAATAATAATAATAACAGCAATGGACGATACCACCCTGTCGTTAGAACAAATGCTCATAGCAGTCGCTACTGTCCTCCTCTTCGTGACTCAGCGCGTTTTCTCTCCACACGAGAGTCAACCGGCAAACGTGAAAATTTCTGAAGGCCAGCAAATTATTTAAATTATTTATTATTTGGTCTTGCTATTAATTCAAGATGTCATCAGTTCTGTATCCTATTCCTAGTGTTAATCATTTGGTCAGTCGTGTTCTTCAGTGCTATAAGTATACAAGGAATAGCATTTGTTTCAAAAGAAGCCGTGAAATTTATTGAGGGCTTAGACCCAACTCGCTCTTACAGCGGATCATATCAACATTCACGCTTGAACATAGTGACCGATTTATCGATCTATCTTGACGTGACTTGTTTTTTTACCCTGCCGACTGAGGTCAATTACCGCCGGGTTCGTTCATTCTCGTCTAAAGGTCACTCGATCAAGGGTTCCCGAGGTAGGGGTGACCCGTCATTGAAACTTTCATCTTGGCTCCGTAATTCTGTGCAAAGTACTTTTTTGTTTATGGTTTACCATTGAGACTGATGTCATGGTAGGCCCTATCCAATACAGTTGATCTGTGAGGACCGAGGCACGAATCACATTGTGGGGTTTTCAGTAGAACGCGATTGGTAGAGTCAGTTGAGTTGCAAATGGTTTTGTTTGAGGTAAAAAAGAGTCTAAATAATAGTCGTATATTTGCTCTATTATTCGTATTTTTGATGTTATTCTTGTGGGAAATTTGATCGCATTCATGGCCTCCTTCTATGTTCTAGCCGTACAAAAATGTGAGGCTTGAAATGTCCAACCAAATGAGTGCAGAATCAACACGAAGACGGGACCGGTTGAATCTACGCGATAGTTCAAGCATCGTTTAACCAATGCAACTTTTGATCAACCTTACGTTAAAGAGATACAATTTCTTTCGGGCAAAAGGGAGTTGTCATACACAATTATTTTTCACCGTACTGTACAGTANACATTTGAACTCGTCGATAGGCAAGAATGATTGCTGCCCACAGAGCTTGCATGGGTAAGCCAGGCGTTAGAAAAAATTCTTACCACG